TCACACACAAAAAATAGTTTGACTAACAGATCGGTGATGCATTTGCTGTTAACAAGCAATAAAATGTGGAACACTTCATTATGATCTGTATGCACCCTGACATAAAACTCAGTTTCCTGCAGGGCCGTGCAGTATGTTAAGTCTTCACATTTCTGTCCATGGAGGCAAAAAAAATGTAATTGCAAACAGCAACACGGCTGTTTTTCTCAGCCTGGTTTCCCCTCACTGAAACTGCAGGTTTAATGTCTGCAGAAATGATTCAAATGCACAGCTGCTTACAATACCTGTAAACTTGCTTGCAGTGACCAGTGGAAACTTATCTGTTGCTTTTGCCTTTTGGAATCGTATTTGGGTTGGAGATAAACCACTTAAAGGAGTTTATAAAGCCATGATGTTTGTTGACCGTGCTGTTGGAAACGGTGCTGCAAAGATTAAATCACTTTCTTTGTATCAACTTCTAGAAAGACGTTGTGTTTATTTACCACAAACACGCACACACACGCAGACTGCAGGCACAGCTCACGAAGAATACGTTACAAAGGCTTCTTGCCTTACAAGTCAGCATTCCTTACAGTCCAGTCATTGGCTGCCCTTTAACCTACTTTTAAAGCAGTGACACAAATTTAAATTGATTAAAAAATTTCACAGAGCTAAAGCTGAATAATTCACTTAACAGTGTTGTCAAGCTCATCTTACATTCGAGGGTCATGCTTTGATCTTAAGTAAGGAGGACAAATAAGAATACCCTTTGTCAGCATAAAGATGTCTAACTTCACATTTTATCTCTGAGATATCTCATTATTAGGACAAAAAGTGCAGTTTCTACATCTCAGTTTACCTATATAAAGATGTAGTAAATGAAATAAATCTGTCACTTTGGGCTTAAATTTGTAAGAAATGTGTAAAATTACAGAGAAGTCTGTGACCTCACTGCCCAGACTGTCCTGTAATTATAAAGAAAGTTTTTGTTAATTCCTGGGAAATTTCCTATTTTTGTTTATTTTACCGTGGACACAGTAAACTAGACATTTCTATTGTATCATTTAATTGCTTATCTGTTACTTCATCATTGTAGTATTAATGTGTGTGTCTTTATCAGGAGGATAAGCTGTAACATTTATGAAAATACAAAAAAAAAAACAATTATTGCCGGGCCTTATATTTGACACTCCTCCCCTAAGCCACTGGTATTCGAGATTGAAGATAATCTCTAACTTTTCCCAGTAACACGTGAGAGCATGTCCGCCTTGTGGCTTGCCGTCTGCAACGCAAACTAAACCTTACCATGTACCTCAGTGCCCAGCGCACCCACCCTCCGCACAGCTGTGAGCAATGAGCATCCTGCCCCCTCCTCCCTCAGCATCAACCCCCCTGAATGCGTGCGTAAAAGGAAAGTTTACCGAAACCGGTTGGCTGGGCGGTGCGCGCGCACACCCTCTCTAGAGCCGGTGGATGAACTTCAGCTGGATAATGGATGAACGCATCAGACAGACAGCTAGCAAAATGCACAGCGTACTATGAACTCCAGATGTCAATGTATTGGAAGTGAGCACCCGCCCACGACGAGTGAGTCACACTCTGAAGTAGCTGAATAAGTGAGCGACAGTGCGGACGGGGAGTTTCTGCGTGGGGTATTTAACTTCTTTCTGGTACTTAAAGCTCCTCCGTCCCGCGGTGTTTATGGAGAAGCGCAGCATCGAGCTCGAGCCGCCACACGGACTGACAGTTGCTGCGCGAGGCGCTGGTGTCAGGAATGGATAGCGCGCGGGATACCTGCGGACGCTCGTGCGCATCTTATTAAAGTTGCGACACTTCTTGATAGACGAGGCTGAAAACTTTTATTTGTCCTGAGCCAAAAGTCGGAGAGAAGAAAACGCGAAAAGGACACAAGCGTTTTTTGTGTTGTTGTTGTAAAGCTGTAATCTAACCTAAAACACACAGTGCACAGTGAAGCACTTTTACCGCCTTTAGGCTTCACGGGAAGCTTTGAAGTGGAGAAGATGAGTCAAGAGGTCCCGAGAAGATTTCAGATGCTGGTTGTGCTCTGGTCAATACTTCTTGTGAGTGTGGTGACAGGGTTACCTACCAGACGCAAGAATATTGCCCACAAAGTAAGTTCTCGTCTCCATTTTTTCCTTTTTCTTTTCCCTTTCTGTGTGTTGGCTTTTTTGTGGCGTAGAGTTTAGCAACAAGTTAGAAAAAGCCATAGATCACACTTGCCACTGACAGGCAATTAGCTAATGCTTTGAAGTTTTTGCTGATGGTTGTAAAATGTCTCCTGAGTCCTGTTCCTTTTATTACTACAATAGCTTATAAAATTGTACCAACATAATTTTAAAACTAGAGCACAATAAAATATCAGAAAGTTGGTGCTTAGCTTTAATTTCCCATTCAGCCTCTTGGTAATATAACTGCTTGGTGCAAATTATTTAAGTTATTCACTTTGTTTGCAACATTTAAAACTTATGTTGTGCATTTGTTTGTAATTTTGTTTGCTGAAATTTAAAAATCACAAACACCTTAATGGAATGTTCTCACCCTCTTTTTCCAGGCATTCTTTAATCAACTAAAGAATTTCCACATTAGAAATTTGTTGCCTTCTTTTGTTCCACTGCTCTCTCCATGTATAGTAAGGTTTGCCATCTCTGGGCATTCACTCTGCTAAATCCAAACTCTCTGCACACACACACACACACACACACACACACACACACACACACTGTGCGGTGTGTCAAAGGGGAATGTTTGTGTTACACATGGACATATTTGGATATCAAAGTCCGCTTGTGTGTGTTTGTGTCAGGGTTCAGTTTTTGCCTTTGAACTCTCTCCTTCTCGTGTGGCCTCCCATGGATGGGATGCCCTATTGGGACTTTCTTTCTCTCTCATCATCTGCCTGATTGATGTCAAAGCAAAAAGACACAAGGAAGGACTCATTAGTGACAAGAAGAAAATAAAAATCTTACTGTGGCTGCTGTGACTGCTCATTTCATTCACCAAAAAGCCAAATGTTGGCGACTCTCTCTGCCTGTGACCCCCCTGCATGTGTGAGTGGTGGATGAAGAGGGGAGATTAGCAGAGGAAGACTGCGGGAGGAGGAGGACAAGCTCAGTATGGGTTAGGGTGCCCAGTAAGAAGATGCTTATGTAACCAGAGAAAGGGAAGCCTTAGGCATCTCTCACACTGGAGCTCAGGTCAAGTGTCATTCATCTGATTGTTTACGTTGGCTCTTTTTTGTGTTAATGTGGAATTTCCTGTTTTTGCCTTTACCCCCATGCCTCGGTGGAGAATAGAGGGAGGGGCGTTGTGTTGAAGTGGCCTCTTTTCCAGATACTGGGACCTGTTTGCCCTCTTCTGCTTTGTACCCCCACTACACATACCAACTTCCACTACCTCACCCTGATTCTACCAGGCATGCATTTGTTGTCCTCTTTCCATTTACACAAAGATGGTGATCAAAGAGAGTCCATAGTTTATTGTTCTTCTGTAATGGTTTGGAAACAGCCAAGTGCAGGACCCTTTGATATCTGCGGGCGCATAAATCAGGGCTGCCATACTGCATACCCCCCTCCCCCAAACCCCAACCGGATCTTGTCCCTACCCCTCTACTCTGGCTCACCCCA